GGCTCCGGTCCCGCTCCCCGGCCGCCGCGGGGGTGGGAGGCGGGGTGGGGGTCACGCCAGGGTGGGGAGACACRCACAGCCGAGCTCTGGAGAGGGAGGCCGGGCTGACACACCCCGTCCCCGGGGAGCCGGGCAGGGAATTTCAGGCGGTTTGAAGCGTTCTGTTTTCCAGCGAGRTTGCGGTGTGAGACGCATGGTGCTCGGGAGGGCTGTGCCCAGCCCGGTGACGCGGTCATGGGGACACGACAGCCCCGGTCATCGGGGCAAAGCCGCCCGTTCTCGTCAGACACCGCGCCGGTGCTGCTGATGAGCGCGTTAGTCACAGGCTGGAAATTCCAGGGAAGGAAACGTGGGATGGGTATTCCCGGGAAGCGAGAGCCGTGATCGTTCCCGTGAGAGGCTGGCGAGGAACCGGAGCAGCGGGGAGGCAGGACACCCGCACCCCCGAGCGCTMCCGGTGCTTCGGGAGAATCCGTGAGCTTCACAGCGGCCTCGTCCCATTGCCCCGCTCCCGTCAGCCGCCTCCCCGGGGATAGCGCTCCAGCACCGGTGAACCGGCTCCGGCGGTCCCGCCACTCCCCSGCGGGTACCACTGGGCCCCGCCCGCCCCCGCAGTCACAACACGCCCGGGGAAGGTTTCTCGGCCTGTCCCGGCGCTGGGGAAGGAGCCCCGCTCCCGCCGCCGGTACCGTGAGGCGGCCGCCCTGATGACGTCATTCACGGCCGGTGACGTCAGCGGCGGCGGGTCCTGCGCGGGGGTCACGGCCGCGGGCGCCGGCGGGGGCGGGGCGAGGGGGGGCCGGAACTACGACTCCCACAAGGCTGCGCGGCCGCGCCCCACCGGCGGCAGCCAATGGGAGCGCGGCGGAGGCTCAGGCAACGCGCACGTGGCGCTGGCGGCGGCCAATCAGCGGCGGCGGCGGCCGTAGCCCGATGGGCCGGGGAGGCCGCTCTCCGCGAACAAAAGGCGGCGGCGGCGGCGGGAGCGGGGCTGGAGTAGCAGCGGATCGGGGTAGGAGCGGCCGAGCGCGGCCCAGGTGAGTGCCGGGATGGCCGCACCGCCGAGCGCCGCTGCCGTTGTGGCGGGGTCCGCCCGCCCCGGAGAACGGTGGCGGCTCTGCCCGGCACATGGCGGGGCCTCCCGCGGCCGCTTCTGCCGGCGCTGCCGCGCGTCCGGGGCGGGAACGGGTGGGTTTGCGGCCCGGGAGCCGCGCTGGTCCTGGCCGGCGCCGGCCCCGATAGGTTGCTGTAGGGCGGGATTGCCGCGGACTCGCTCAAGAAGCGGGTGTGCCGGTGGGAACGGGGGCGGCCGTGCCGGCACGGTCCGGAGTGGATCCCCTCGCTCCCGCCGGCACGGCCTCCTCTGACCTTGCGGGCGSCGCCGCCGRGGTCTCTCGGTAGCGGTGCTGATGYCCGGTAGTGTCCGTGGTGGCTCTGGGGCAGGGACAGTGTGCGGTGGGCACAGCGCGGATATTACCCAGGGGCTGGGAAAGGGGTCCAGCTTTACGCGTTTATTCTTTACTCCTCTGGTTCAAGAGGGCCTTGGCCGAAGCACTTTCATCCCCTGCCATAAAGAAAACCCTTTCTTTATGGGTAGCTCCGCGTCGGGATCTCGCTGTTCCCGTGCGAGCAGCAGCGTGCACAGCCCGTGTGTCGCTCCCTTCCCGGGACAGCTGGCTGTGTTCCAGCTCTCCTGTTTGCTSCCTGCAAACACCTCCTGTTTGTCTTGCTGCTTTCGAAATTCTCATCCTGCTGTGCAGACTCTCCCTTCTCTCTGTTGAACAGTTTGYTGTCTGCAGTAGTGTCTAAAGGCTGAAACCGAGGTACACCCTGACTATTCCTCTTTGTAGGTGTCTCTACTCTTTCAATCCCTAACTGGGTTTGGAGCTCAGAGTATCATCTCTGGTGTCCAGTGATATTATATACTCAAACCCTGCTGGGTTTCCTGCATATGAGACTCTGCAGTTTTCTCCAGGTATCAGGGCTCTTCCCACTGTTCTAGTGCTGCCTGAAGCAGTTCCCACACAAGGACAGCCACAGCTGGAAGTCCTGCCCAGTCAGGGAACCTGCTACTGCCATACACTGTGCAAGTGATATAGGAAGTATTTAAGGAATAAGCTTGTTAAGGAGCCCCCAGGGTGCAGAGCAAGATGATCTTTAATGACAGGATTCCCAAATTTCCCCCCTTGCGGCACTGGGTGCCCACCAGGTGTGGGGAGCCTGTCTTCTCCTCTCCGTTAGCCACATGTAGCCAGTCTGTGCTYCCTGCTTCTCCCTAGCCCCCGTGCTTTTCTCAGAGATTCCATGTGTGCCGGGAGCCTCTCCCAGAGCTGGGCATGCAGCACCTGCTTGCATCACCCCGCACAGCGTTTCCCAACCGCAGCTGCGGGACCGTGACCTCGCGTTTGCCCGAGCCCTCGCTATCCTCTGATGAAACACATGGGTTTGCCAGGTGGGAGCTGATGTAACTTTTCATGCTGCTATGGGCTGAAAATACTGGCTGAGCTTGAACTGTGTTAATAAATGACCTGGGATGKMGCGGGGGGAGGCTGCTTTAMGGTATGGGTTTGTTGACACAATTCKTAGGAGAGAGCAGGCATCAAGTCTTCACTGGAGGAGTCCTTTCCTCCTGGCAGAAGCATCGTTCTGGTGCAGCTGGAGGACAATATCGATCTGAATCCAAGAGAATTCCTTGTGTGAGCACCACATTCTGTGGTGAAGCTGAGTTACACCCCTTCTTCTGTTATGAAGAAAAACAAACTAAATCAATATCTGTAATAATTTTTATCCCTTTGCAGAGCAGAGAGCAGTGTCATAGTGAGCAGTGACACATCATTGATCACTTGGGAGTCAGGGAGAATTTACCCAGGTTCTATGTCAAGAATGTTTTAAAGAAATATGTTTGCCTCCCTSTTTCTCCATCTGTGTTTTCCTTTGGATTTCTTGCGTGTTCCCTCCAGCTGGTTGCTGTTTTATTGGGGCAGATGTACCAGTTGTGTCACAGCAAACAACATCCAGCCCTAGGACTCTTACCTGCCTTGCCACCATCCCACTAATTATGCTCAGGAAATTTTCTCCAAGCATCAACTTCTTTRCAAATGTTTGACAGATGATGTTTTGAGGGAATAAATGCTGCTGAGCTCCCAAAAATGTAATCTGTTCCATGTCTCTTACTTGCTTTGGACTTGCTAGCAAAGGCTGGAATCCAGCTTTGGGATGGATGATGAGAGAAAGATGTTGCAGGGAAGCTGTTAGTGTTGGAGCCTCAGTAAATCAACACAAATCATTTATGGAAGTCTGACACTTGTGCTGCTGATGTGAATCTGCCCTTATRTGTGGTGGGTACMAGGTCTGGRACCTGAAGTGGTGAGAAAATTGCAGGTCAGTGTTGGCTMATGAATGCTGAACAGAACTGTGTCTGGGTGTTAAGCAGTGGAACAGAGCACTGTTATCCCACAGCATATGTTTGGGGCAGAGAAAGGGACTTTT